GTTGAGGCCGGGCTGTATGGTATGATAGTTTGACGGCCGGTATGTAATAAAAAGATAACTGTTACATACCGACCTTATTAGAACTCAGATTAAGATCTTTCTTTAAGCTGAGTAAATCTTCGTGAGAAATCTTAGATTATTTCCTGACTGTTTTGGGCTTCCTTCGACGTTTGAAAAACTAACCTAGGCTAGTTTTTGCCTGCTAACTCTCTAATGCTTTTGGCAACAAAGTGATGCTTACTTTCATCTGCCAATTTGAAGAGATTCTGAAGTTTCTTGTGTTCACTACATGCATGACGTTTCCCAGGAGGAACCTGCGTCAGACATAATTTGGAATTTTTTATGAATTTTTTTTCTGCTGTTTATATCTACACACCCGCACAACTTTGACTGTCGACTTTGGTTTAAACTTATTGTTAACATCTTTCTTGCGGATATTTTTAAACCTTAATTTTCATAAACTGCTCCCTTTTTACCCTTCTTACAAAGAAGGGTATAGATATCACTTGAAAAACCGACTATCGATCCGAGGCCGAGTGTCATATACCATTCGACTCAGCTCGACGAGATCGGAACATGTCTGTGTGTGTGTGTACGTGTGTATGTGTGTATGTGTGTGTGTATGTAACCAAATGAATGCGCTCACGTTTCTCAGCAACCACTCAACCGATTTGGACAAACTCGGCACCAAATGATAGGTCTTGGGGTCTCATTGAACGCTATTGAACGGTTTTGGAATCGGTGAACGGGTTCCGGAGATATGGCCGGAATAAGATCCGGTGAATATGGGCCTTCACGCTGGATTTAACGGAAAACGTATCAAAACCATCATGCGACACATCAAATTACTACATAATTAAAAAATGTTAAGTGTTCCAGACCACATTGGACACACTTGGACATGTTCCGGGTACCTCGGGGAAGTTGCTTGAATATGAATTGAATTAAAACCCATTAAATCACATTAAAATACGATGATAAGGTGATTGGTAGCCTCACCAAATAGACTCCGGGTACCCCCAGGCAGTGTCGTATCATCACTGGATGACACGGGGGTGGGGGGCTTGGTCACTGATAATGACAATAAAATAAATAAACTTGAATAAGTAAGAAGGGTCTGATCACACCATAGGTGGATAAATTCGGGTTTTTATATTGGTAAACGGCAATGTAACATGTGTTAGCCGTAGTCAAGATATATTTTTAGGTGGCAAATTCTCATTTTTACGCCCTTCCCTGCTCATACCCTCGATCACATTTAATAAAGGAAGCAGAAAAAAGAGAAAGAGATATCGCAACAAATTCTCACTATTAAACCTGTTTTCTAAGACATTGTTGCACCACCAACAACCCGATGAGACAGCTTATAGAAGTTACATTCAAATTCAAATCCCTGTTCATAAATTTTTCCTTGATTTCGTTGAACTTCGATGAAATTCTTCTAACTTTCCTAATGTTCTCTGAACATTTCTGAGTTTGGCATTTTTTTCCCGAAATTCTCAGTTATTTTTTAAAGTTCACAGTACTTTCCTAATGTTATTAAATTTTCACAGACCATCCTAAAGTTTGCAAAAATTTCCTCACGTTTAATGAACTTTTTGCAGAGCATCATTGAAATTCATATAATGTTGGTATAGTTCACAGAACTCTTTACGATTCTTTTGGAAATTTGTATGGACCGTAGACATTTGCCGTACTCTAACGGAACTATCAACTCTATGCTTTCATCTACTCCATCTATCGTATAAAAATTACCACTACAGTCTGTTATTTGAAATTAGCATCTTCAACTATGTAAATCGTTGACTTCACGTAGAAGTAATACTAAAACATATAGTCAAAGTACATAACTCTGGATGGGAGCACACCAAACTTTCGGTTCCTATTATCTCCTTTATTGAACTCCGGTAAAAATCTTTCAACAATCGTCGCTACTAAAGTGGCTTGATTTTTTTACAGAGTCGCTTTTTCAAAGCACAACAAGCGAACTCTCTATTTTCTTCATAAGGTTTTTTTTTTTAATTTTTCCAGATTTTCTACACGATACCTCCAATAAAAAAAAAAAACACTCGATACACGACAAAAATCAATGCCTACTATGATTACGTAGCTGTCTTGGACTGTCCTGCTCGTTTCTTTTTCTTATACTCTTATGAGGGAAGAGAAATTAAATAAGAAGTTGTTCTAGCAACAAATATTAATTGATTTTGCGCAAAGTCGACTTAATCAATACGGATCTTACTTGAGAGTCAGAGAGAACTCCTTCATGCCATTTGGATTAATTCAATCAACTTTTGAACCTTGTTTAACTGCATTTGTTCAATTCTTAATAGTTTTGTATCGTCAATAGTCCATGTACGCCTTCATAATCGGTTTTGTAAACTTCAAAACACTTTTTCTCAAAAAACCCAAGGTGAAATATTTTAAAACCATCACAGATTTGATTGTAAGGATCAATACTAACATCCGGTGAAGAAAAATCTGAGGTACATGAATGTTGCAAAAAAAGTTCCTTCAGACATAGCGTGCGTAGTTTAAACTATAAAGAACAACTTTGCTGAAGACAGCATCATGATTCATGAAAATATTAATTAATTATGTATTATGGAAATATTAATTAATTCAGTTCATTTTACTCGTATATTGCAACAAAATACAGGCAGATTATGCAACGTATCAACTATAAAAATAAAAGTTCATATTTTCCACAGGCTAACATCCAGGCTCGTGTCTTTTGGTGCGATAACCACTATCTGAATGTTTCAGCTCATTTTGACGTTAAGGTTGATGCATATATTATGTCACGCTATAAGGGGGGAGGGGGGCTCTAAGATTTTGTGACAAGCAATGCATTAGGTATAGGAAAAACGTCACGATAGGGGGGAAGGGGTAGTTTTTTGCTCGATTTAGCGTGGCATAATTAATGCATGGGCCCTTACACGGGCTGGCGCTTTATGTTTAATGTTCATATAGCAGATTTCTTTGAAATTATCAACTATACAAAATACTCATATACACACATAGATTTTTTGCCGAGATAGGCACCACCCAGACAACCAGAATGTACGTATATTTAAAGTTGTTTCTGTGAAATACAAACATATCTTCTTTTTTCTTTCTTTTATTTCACGTCGGTCTCTGTTCCGCAATCTAGTGCCAATCACCGACGGACATCGATTGCCATCCATTGACGGCAATCGAATGTGCAGGAAGGCAGCTTCCACACCTGCGTAGGATATCGCACCCATTCACAACACACATGGGCCGGGACCAACGCTTTACGAAGACGTGATCAGAGATTTTTATGCCTCAGAAAAATCCCACCGACCTCGGCTGTGATTGAACCCAGAACCATTGGAGTGTTAGAAAGCAGTCACGTTTACCACTACACCACCGAGGCGGCATACAAACATATATACAAACAAACAAATCGTATAGAATGCAAAAAAAAGGGCCTATACCTACAAAAGTGGAGGCCATATACGTGCAAATTTTAATTTCTTTCTAAACGAGTTGATTTTACATTATATACGATTCAATCTGTAATAAAAAAATCAATTTGAAAAACCTTGCGATGTAATCGGATTTAATTTGTGATACAGTACGATTGTACTGTACATTGTTATACGACTGTACATTGTTATACGACTTCTGGTTGTCTGGGCACCGAGCAGCTCGGTATTAAAAACTTACCGAGATTCAGCTAACAAACGGGAATGTTGCCGAGATCTTAGCTAACAAACAACAATTTTACTGAATCTCCGCAAGTTTTTCTCTGAGATTCAGCAAAATAAAATGCCGATCTGCTCGGTGGAGCCCATCTCGGCAAAAAAAAATCCAAGTGTGTACATTTAAAAGCGAATATCTCAATAAAACTGACTGGATTCATGATGCAATCTTCAACAAAGTTGTTACTCATTAATTGATCTACTAGTTTTGAAAATCTGAATCAAATCGAGAATAAGGAAACTTTCTATGATCGATAAAGTGTAAGTGTGTCATTTTTTTTCACCTAATGGCACAAATCTAGGGGTTGGCCCGCGGAAAATTAGAATTTTTATTTTTGTGGGTCAGTCTATTCGTTTATACAGGATTGCCAGCTAGCGGCGTTTCTCTGCTTCAAATTTTCTGCATTCTGCCTCCTGCCTCCTGCCAAAAGTTCCATCCCGTTCGTAGATAGTAATCCAGTTGCTTATAGTTGTCCTGTGTATGCCATACATAAGTGCAAGTTTGGCCCTCGAAAGACCCAGAAAATAAATCAAACACACTCACTTTTTTCCACCGAACTCGGTATATTTTTTGACGAGATTTCTCAGTACCGATGCACCGGCTTCCAAAAAGATAAACTAGAGACAATGAAAACGTGCCGTGCACTTAAATTTACGGCGCTGTGAAAACGGCGAAAACCAAATGATTGTAATTATGGATCAGCATGGTAGTTCTCTCCGTGCGATAAGTGCATACTGATGACCAGGCTTTGCCCTGTACAAACGAAGCTCGTATAAAACAAATGTTTACAAACATAACTTGTTTTCCAACGGTATTTACTACACACATTGTACCATATCAGATACTTTTAATTACGTTACGCATTTCCGCGGAACAGTATATTTAACCAGTGAAAAACGTGATGCTATCACTTTTTCGTTTTTCCGGGAAACTTTCAGACCGTAGAATAATCATGTACTATAGAAAAATCCATTGGCCAAAGTATAAAACGATGCTGATTCACTGTACAATTCCGCCTCGGTTAAACAGGAACTGGACAGAAACAATCCGGCGATAGAAAAGAAAAACAGACTACGATTGGAGTATTTTATTATTCAGTGAATGTTCTATAAATAAAAATGTCGGTATTTACGCGGTTGCAATTTATATACTCCAAAATCGGTTCAAGCGACGAGTGGTCAGATTTTTGCCAGTTCACTTTCAGATACTCGGTTGGCAGGGTCGCGTTATCCGTGGAGTAAAATCCCACACGTGGCCATCTTTTAGTGAATTGTTGTCCATCGATAATATCGTGTCTACTGGTGAGAAACGTGTGATAAGCAATAAATCCAAACCAAACAAGCTAGTAGGGCTGTGACCTGCGGTAAATATTAACTAAAAGCTTGCTTATCAGGCTACAAATTATAACAAATTGATTGCTAATCGTTCATCCGTAGTTGCAGTTAAGAGGTAATCGAAAACATATAATAAAATCATATGGTAAATTACTAGTGTGGATATAAAATAAATCATTGAAGCTCCCGAAGAATCGATAGAAACAGAATATGGGGTATATGATAGATTAGACTAAGATAAATCGCTTCTGATTAAATTTGTGTACTTATTTATTACCTCCAAACAAGGTCAAATCTAAGAGGTATACACACTTATGAAGATGCAATTTATCCTATCTGCTGAATTTCCATCATACCGCGATGCGATGGAAATAGGTTTTTGTTGTTGTTTCTGGCAGCTCAAACTAAGGCATAATGTTTTACGATCGCTTGTGGTTTCGATTAAGTATTCTGTGTTGAAGGATGGTTCTTGTAACAGAGTGCAATGATGTCATTTTTTATATTAAAAAGCACTCATCGTGTTTACGTGGGCATTAATGAACATTATTTTCCCATTTTTCTCAACCTTTCTCTGACCTTTTTTTTACCTAAGTATAGCCGCATATCTATTATGGAGAATAGTTTGAAATATTTAAATAAAAATTAAATGAACAATCTAGAAATTTTAACCTTCGTTTTTTGCCATCAATGGACCAAATGCTTCGCCACTAGCCTTTAGAGCGGCGCACAATACTTGATCCGTTGTGGTAAATCTGACAGCAATAAATCTAGCTGTCACTTTGCCGCTACGTATCAAATCCGTTTGTACAACCCGCGTTTTACATTTCTTTTTTGAATGGATGTGTACGTACCTAACAATGGAATGTTTCTACTAAAGATGACTTCTAATACATTTACCTTTAAATGTATACCATGTGGTTTGATAGAACGTCACCAATTGTTTACATTTGATTTAAAATATGATAGCGCTTTTGAAATAGACGATCGTTCCAAACGTCCCAACTAACATTTTCAGCTTTATAAGCCAACTTTTCCAGCATGGTGCTGTGAAGTAGCTGAAAAAAGCTGCAGATAAAGCTAAAAGCAGAAGTTAGCAAAATAGTTTTGGAGAGTGTTTACTCAACTTTTTCACAACCATTATTCAATTTGTCAGTCACACTGAATAACAGCAGCCAATAAACACTAATGTCACTTCTACACAACCAACCACTCTTGCTGAATAACATAAATATCAAAAGTGCTTTTTAAACAACTAAATAACATTTACTCAACTAATAAACTGTGTTGGCGCTACTTTGGGAGCTATTTAACAGTCAACTAGGTTTATTTTTAGACTTGTGCAGTTTTACAGCTTTTACTCTGGTTCTTTACAAAGCTGAAGTAACTAGTCGAGAAAAGTGATTCATGTGCACTATTATAAAGCCTCTACTCAACGATATTATTGTAGAAGGGCATGTATATTTGTTTACGTCAGTTCAAAGTGTTGGCGTAGCGGAGTTGGTAGTGTCAAGGTTTGCCAATACGGTAGTCTCGAGTTCGATTCCAGGTTCCGGTGCAGGTTAAATAATTTGGTGGTGTGCTTATAACTGATTTCGATTAATTTGATTCTCAAAGCAAAATAGACTAAATCAATTCCTCCAACAAAAAAATCGTAAACAATATTTAACCCGGCTTCAACAGAAAGCTGTGTAGTGATTATTGGATAACCGGAAAAAGGTTGAATTAAGGTTCAATTTACTTTGATGCTTTTTGGAAAATTTCAAAAGCAGTTTTTTTCGACGTCTTATTTTAGATTGCAAAAAGCTCGCGTCATTTTGTGTAAAATATCAAAAGGAATCGAATAGTGCGAGATTTTTGCAATCTGAAATAATGCGTCGGAAAAAAACTGCTTTTGAAATTTTCCAAAGAGCATCAAAGTAAATTGAACCTTAAGCGCCTTTCAAGTTCGCACACAACTAAACAGCAGGATAACAGCTGTTTAGAAGCGTAAATGGAAATGCAATAAGAGCTTGATCCAACCGTCCCAACAGCCATAAGTAGCTGACTAAGTTCGCCAAATTTGCTTGTAAAGAGGTTGAGTAAAGGTTTCCTCATATCGTATAACATATGAATACAGCTTGAGGCTGTATTAATGAAATGAGTAAAGCGTTTACATTGCGAAAATTGTTAGTTGGGGTATTATTGATTCGTTCATTCATTCGGTGAATTCATACATACTCTATATCGTAAGGTGGGGTAAACGTTCAAGTATTGGAAAAGTTCGTTTTGAGGTTTTTGGCACTTGTCTGGAAGGTCTTTTAGAGTCAGACATTCTCACACAAAAATCACAAAAAATAATGGTGTTTTCGAAGAATTATAGGCAAAAGTGTGTTTCGTTATGATATATATTAACATTTGTACCAATTTTGGGAGCATAAGAAGAATTCAATAGTGAAGGAGTGACATGATTGCATTTTTCTTGAACATTACGTTTTAAGGTACCGTAAAACGGGGTATCTTTGATAATGCGGGTAACTTTTTTGACGTAGGACTACGTCTGTGATTTCTATATGGAGGTACACTTTGTTAACCGAAAATGGAACATGTAACAAAATTATGAAAGATTTTGAACGTTAATAACTCAGCGACCCCTGGACCAATTTCAATAATTTTATCACCAATCGATCAGATATATTTCTACGCATCTGTTAAATTTAAGAATTTATAATTTCTCAAACATCACTATTGAAAATGGCACAAATGTAAGAAGTGACTGTAACCTTAAGTGAATTGATACAGTACTTTCCGAAGTTTTGTGAAGTTGTTCATTTCTTTCTGGAATTATTTAGTTTTTACGGAAGCGATTACAAACTTTCTGAAAAGATTAAGTATTTTCCAAAGGGATTCAGAAATTTTCTTAAGTCATTGAATACTATCCGAAGAATTTCAAAGCTTTTCTGATGTGATTCATTACTTTCAGAATTGATTTCAAACTGTTAAAAAGTGATTCAATTCTTTCTGAAGCGATTCAGTATTCCCAAAGTGATTTCGAACGTTACTGAAGTGATTCAGGGCATTCCTCACTGATTCAATTATTTTCGAAGTGATTCCGTTCGTCTGGAAATGATTTAAAACTTTCTGGTATGATTCAGTACATTCCAATATGAATCCGAAATTTTCTGAAGTAATTCCGAGCTTAAAGTGATTCTATACTTTCAGAAGTGATTCAGTGCTTTCTGAATAATTCAGGAAGGGATCATGAACTTTTCCAAAGTGATTCCAAACATACCTGAAGTGATTCAGTGCATTCCTAAGTGGAACAATTATTTTCATTTTTTTTTGCTATTCAAGTGCGGGAAATAACAATCTGTCTCTGGGTGAACAGCGGGTTAGCAAATTTGGAAGCGTGATAGCAATCGACTGAAAATCACTTGCAATGATGATATATGAATGAGTTTGAATCTGGGACCGAAATGCCCAGGGACAGCGAGGTAGTCCTCCGAAACATCCGTAAAAGTGTTCAATTCGTAAAAAATAATCTATATTAAAATGGATCTTCAAGATAAAGTTATGTAGAATATGTTGAACCCAAGAAGCATTGCAATTTCAAAGCGAAAACATAGTAATTATCAAACTAGAAGCAGGTTACAATTTTTGAATATCCAGAGAACTTTGAGATTAGGGCATAATTGATTTTGTAAACAAACACGACAATCGCCGATTTCTCGCCAATTAGAGATCAATCTAAAAAAATTAACGGCGCAAACAGGTAGAGAAATGATTTCTCTATCATCTGGTATGGTTTTTTCACGAGGTGGAGTTTCAATGTAGGAGAAATCGGTGATATATGTGTTTTTTCAAAAGCAATTACGCCCAAATCTCAAAGTTCTCCGGATATGAACACTGAAGTCTTTTTTATACGCGTTTTTTTTTTACACGGTTAGTGCCGCTGAGTCGCAATTTACGCGGTACGTTTTTAATGATTTCTCGACAACGATGCAACCTATCGACTTGATTCCAATCACATTATCCGTTTCAAGCTATAGGTAATCGAGTGACATACTTTAAAAAACAAATCACAATTTTTGGTGTAAATACAGAAATTTTTAAAATATGTCTATATGGACCATAGCATGCTATAATTACGAATGGCATCAAAATCCGAGTTATAAAATAATATTTAAGCATGTGTTAATTCAAAAGCTCGGTAGTTTTTTTTTACGCGGCACGTACACACAGAGTTTACATTACCGAAGTCGGTGAAATTTTACTGGGTTTTTAAGCAGCTGAGTTTTCAGTTATCAACCCAGTAGTTTTTGCTTTTACTGAAAACTCCTTTAATCGCAGAATCTCTGAACTGTCAAAAATTACCGTGTTAGTCAGTACTAGCCACAATCAATACGAAACTAACAATTTTACATTGGCTCACTACTTGACTAGTCTATTGGTCCCAAGCAAACGATTAACGTACCCTATTCTAGTTGAAATTCTATTACTACACTATGTTTGTTTTGATTCGCTATGAAAGTTTGACAGATAACATCAGGGGTGTGTGGATTCATGCAGAACATGCAGGGGTGAGTGAAATAGCTTGGGACTGCTTGGGACCGTTGTTCTGGTACTGAGTGAGCCAAAAATAATAATGATTTTCTTCGGGACCCAGTGGTCTTAGAGTTACCTCTATGTTATAACTCTGTAGTCTGAACGTACTATAAGTCTGGAGCTTTATAACAGGAAATTTTAGTGAAATTTCTTTCTTCAAACTAACTTGAACATCTGAAAGTCAATGCAGGAGTGCAGAAACTGATAAATTTCGTGGTAGTTTATGCACTCTTGTGTTGACTTCCAGATGTTTCACTGATTTTCCCAATGGTTTCCTGTTTTCACGAGAAGATTTCCGATGTCAAGTGCGTGAGGTTGAATGAAGGAGGATGACATAAGAAATTTGCTTTACTGTCAGTATCAGCAATGTTGGAATTTCGTTTGATGACTGCTCCATTAAAACATAACGAATACAAAAAACTAGAGTACTGAGTTTTAGTCATTATCCGTAAAGCTGTTATTTTACGATAAGTTCAGTTCTTACTCTTACCGTATTCATTAGTTTGTGGCAAGAGCTACTGATCGTCAGTTGTT